AACACACACACACACACACACACACACACACACACACACACACACACACACACACACACACACACACACACACACACACACACACACACACGCCGCGGCCACATCTGTCACTATCCTTCTAAATATTCAACACTTTCAGAGCTGCAGTTAATCGACAGAGAGCACTGAATCTGTCTTTCGTTTCTCTCCTGTGTGCTTCTCTTTGTCTGTTGTCGTCACTTTTTGCTTGGGTTTAAATCATGTAAATGCTTATCGAGTGCTGCCTGTGAGAGGTGAGTTTGCACTCTTTAGCCTGGACCTGCGTTTGTTAGAAAGGCAAACACTGGTAATATTTTGACAGTCCAAACGAAGCAGTTAATGTGCAGCAGATGCATTGTGTGGGGTCCTGAGCTGAGTCCAGCTAATACCACAGGAGAACAGCGTGTCACAGTTTCTAATCTATTCACTTGTGATGAGTCAGTGCCTTTGAGGCCGTTCTTCAGCTGGGATGGATTACTCTCAATACTTTTTCTTATTTCTGTTTAATTTGGATCATTTCTTTATTTCTTTGGCTCAGAAAAGATGAAAAAATTCCGACTTTATGCTGACATGTGACGAGTCTCTGGCATCGACCTGCTTTGAAGCAAATATTCTGATTGTTGCTTCAACCTGTTGTTGTGATATTTGCACATTTTCTGAAACACTAAAATTCTGTGAACAAGCCTCACAGGGAAAATAAAAACCCACATATGTGCACAATTATCACAGCAACAAAAACTCTTTAGTGATATCACGTCTGCTGCCATTGTGGATGCTGTGGGTCTGCAGCAACACAAACACACACACACACACTTCCATCCTCCCGGAAGACGGTCTTTGTAATTAATGCTGAAGTGAATACCCAAATAAAATTAAGCCCCATTTGAAGTCATAAATTTAGTTTGGTTAGCTTATGAAATCTGACAAGGAGTCTATAATTTCTGTGTGTTTGTGTGTTTGTGTTGCGTCTCAGACCTCCAGTCTGTCAAAGAACCAATGAGGCGTCACGGTTTACTCTGTGAAGAGCAAATCAACTCTCTGTAAAGCTGATAAGTGCACTGTGGAGAAAAATGTAAACTCTGTCTGACACTTTGCACGAGTCGTTTTTATTTGTGCACATTGTTGCTTAATGTGTTTGTTTTTTTTGGCCTTGACCCTCTTTGTGACGTGCTGTGTGAGCACCAGGGTCAACCTTGTAGGTGAACGTGCAAGAAAACGACCGTGCAAACAGTTTGTACTCACACAGCGTCATCGGCTAAACGTGGAAAAGTCACCAGCATCACTGACTGACTGGTCGGGTCACACCCCCAGAACACTGCGTTGTTTTTTTGTGTAGTTTATTATCAATAAACAACATTTCACAGACATGACCTGCAGTCATCGTACTTAAAGCTGCCTTTGGTGGTCTCTCCTGCACAGCAATCCTTCAGGTCAGGTTGATGATTCAGATGTTTATGTTTTATTGAATTAAATCCAAAGTAGTTGTTTTTGCTACTTTGTTTCATCCTCCTTATAGCGTTCTTCTCTTTTTCCCCTCCAGATGATGGTACCGAGCCCAGTTCAGGTCGGGACACGCCTGCGAGTAGTTCCTCTCGGCAGGGAGTTGGTGACCAGGCCGAAGAAAAAGGCAAGAAAGAGAAGAAAAAGAAGGCAAAAACAAAGAAGAAAGAAAAGAGCAAGGTGAAGGGGAAAGAGAAGGAGAAGAAGAAGACCGAGGAGCCCGAGGAGACGGAAAAGAAGAGCAAGAAAATCGGCTTCGGCCTGCTGAGGTGAGGGATTTTAAAACGAGTGCTAGCATTAGCTTCACTTTATTGTGTCTTTGTAATAAAATACAAACTTTGAGCAGAGATGCACCACAGCAGACTAAAGATTCAGTTTAAACAGACGTTATAAAAGCCAGAAACCCTGCTGTCCCCACGGCCGACCACACGGCCGACCACACGGCCGACCACACGGCACATATCAAAGCTTTGAAATCATTTCTCACAGAGCGGTGATTTCCAAAACCAACATCAAAGCGTTTATTAGACCAACGTATTTGTTTTAACGTGTCACCGGCTTCAGTTTCACATTATTCACACCATCCAGACTTGAGTGGAAACGTGGTGGTGCTGGTCTGCAGTCTGCTCCGCTTTGCTGAGCCTCACTCAGTGAAGTTTGGTGTGTTTGCTGAGACGAGAGTGGAATTTGTGTCTTTCTCATTTGCACTTTTAGATATCAGCGTTTTTTACTGTTTGCTGATCACTTTTTCGTCACCGATAAGCAGTCCTGAACTTTTCTGCTGCTGCTGGATGTTCTCTGTCCTCTCAGAGCCCACAAACCACCAGCTGCACAGGATCAGGTCACCTTTTGTATCAATGCAAGGAGCAGAGTTCACTGGGCCGTCACCTTTTCTTTGTTTATTGTCAGAAAACCCGACGTGCATCATCAAATATGTTTACATCCCACCTGCGTTCGTACCGTGTTGGACAAAACATGAACACTGAGCTCTTTTTTTGTGCCTTCGTGAATCGCTGTCACGTGCTGCAGGGCACAAAGACCGCTCTGAGACCGGTGCCCACATTTTCCTTAAGAGGCCTGAAATTTTCACTCAGAACTATTTTGTATGATTAAGACTGCACCTCTCAGCGTGACTATAACATACGTAGCATGAATGAGGCAAAGTGTTTCAGTGAACAATTTACTATACTTTCCACCTTCACTGCTGCCTACTATCAGTGTTTTTCCCCACTGTGGTTCTGAAGTGGGATTTCACATGACTATTACACAGATACAGATCTTCAGATAAACAGCAACGTGCAATTTGATCTGCAAAATAGAGCCGCAGCCTTTCAAAATACACTCACAAAAGCAGTCTGTGTGAACTGGGACACAGAAAAGCACTTCCAGATTTCACAGTCCCATTTTATCACAATGATTGTATCTCCAAATTGCATGTTATTTAAAGTGTAATATTAGGCAGTTGGACTAATATGCACTAATTTTGTGTAATCGAATAGGTTTCATTCTTTTTCTTTGAAAGTTCTTTCACCTTTCCCCCGATCTCCCTTCAGCCGGCTTTGTTTCTCCCATTCTTGCACCATTTAATCATTAGGAAATAAACCTTTATGATGCGGAGATAGAGCCTGGTTTATTGTGCTAAAATTCTATCTTTGTTATTCAGTGGACTGTGTAAACGGCTAATCTAAGCCTGTTAATAATTATGTCAGATGTTTTTTATTCTTCGCTAAGTGTGACCGAGTGTGAGGATGACTAACGGAGCGCTGTGTCCTGTGTGGTTTACCTTTACAGGAGCTACCTGTCTGCCTCCTCCTGTGTTTATCCTTAGTTCAGCTGAGCTGTGCGTACGTTAATGCCGCCGTCCTCCAGCCCTCAAAACACAAAGAGACCTTGTAACACAGAACTAAGTTCCTGATAACTGAGCAGAGATGAGCAGCTCTGAGTTTGATGAAAAGTTGACCTTAATCAGCTTTGTGTGCGTTTTATTGTCAGCTGTGTTTGTCAGTAGTAAAACTGAAGGTCTGTGATTCACTCTGGTATTTCTCTGTTCTCTGGAGGGATTTTTTTGTTGAGTTTTCAGACTTTCAAATTAAATATTGCGATATTTGAGGATTGTGAATAAAGCTGCAGTCCAAGATCAGATAACAGGAAGTGTGTGTGCGCAGAAAGTGAGAAAAAGGGTCCTTTTCTTTGTGTGTGTGAACTGATCTTCATCATAGCCTGAGCTCGTCTTCAGGAATAGTTCTCCAGGCTTCCTGAAGGACGTTCAGAGCTTTTCTTTCAGCGTTTCTGCCGCTCGTTCAGTTTCCTGTCGAGATGATCCCACGGTAGATTAATAACGTAGAGGTCTGGGCTGTGGGAAGGCCAATCCGTGACGGTTTTTGTTGTTTGTGTGTTGTTTACTGCACTGGCAGCGTGTTTGGAATCACTGTCATGCTGAAAAATGAAGCTGTTTCCAATCACATCCTTTCCAGATGCAAGAATCTAAATCTGATGGTACTTAAAAAAAAATCTAAACAGCATTTGTTTGCAGAAATAAATCAATGCTGCTCCCTGTAAGCTGCAGCATTTTAATATATTGTCACAAATATAATTGCTGCAAATGTCTTTGAAATATTTGATCGAAATATTAGTTTTGATGCTATCTTGCCCACTCTTAATGGGAACAAACAATCTGTTTTTGCAACAGGCTGCTAGTAACAAAGTGGCCAACGATCCAGTTTAAGACTGGTTCTCTGTTTCGTGCAGAAACAACACAGGTTTCTCCCTCAGGTGCCTTTTCATGCTTGAATGATTCACAGATCAGTGTTAAGTGGCTTAACAAAGAAACACCCAAAAGAAACATTCCTCCGAAAATGTTCAGGTACAACGACTGAAACCGATGACAGCAAAGTAAACTCTGAAAGACCCTCAGAAAGTCTGGAAACTGTAGACCACCTAACAAAGAAAACTAGAGCACAGTGTACCTCGTCTGAAGCAAACGTAAAGAAATGAGGAGAGGATCAAGACTTTTGCACAGCACTGCATGTATCTAGAAGCCTGGTGAATCTTAGCTTTGGACTTGAGATGAAGGATGTTGTTTAAACATGTTATCAAAATAACTGCTGATGTCATTAATGACGAAACGTTTGATCATCATCACTTTTGTCTGAAATCAGCAGTGGAGGTCCAACAACAACAACATACCGACTGGGTCCTAAACTC